AAAAGAAAAGAAAAGAAAGGACACAGAAGGAAAATCACGGCTTGTAGAAATAGGCTAATATCAGCTTAAGGATCTAATGGTATGCTTAATTTGGATTAAATTTTAATTTAGCTTATAGTTATTTGTTGACTACATCTTATTGTCCAATTCTGTTGTCTCTTGAGAAACTTCCGGTTTTTAGTATTTCTCTGTCTGTAGCTTTTTATCATGCTATTTGTTTGGTTCCAATGCAGAAAGGCAGTACCGCTCCTGCTTCAAAGTCACGGATTCCTCAGATTGTTTCCAATACCCTGGGTTTTGGCCAGAAAAATGATGCCACGGTGGACATACCGTTAGATACAGTGAATGTAATGTAGTTGACAAGACATTGTAAGAATTTTCTAGGAGAGTAGCTAAATTTCTTATCTAAATTGTGGCGTAAATTTCCAGGACCCAAGGAAAAAAGAGAGAGAACTTTCAACTTGGGAAGCAGATTTGAACAGGAGAGAAAGGGTTGGTTTTCCATGTTTCATTGAATTTATTTGATATTCTGATATTCATTCTGGGAAAATACTTTAAAAGATTGCATATGGCACCTTAAAAAAAACATTGAGCACTTGTTTGGTGGGAATTAAAATTAGTTTTTTAGTAGATTTTAATGAAAGTTAAATGAAATGTGTGGTTGAAAAGTTGTGAGTCTTGTAAAATATGTGGTTAAAAGTGACTTTAATTTAGATTAAAATCACTGCCAAATAGAGGCTAAGAATGAGCCCCTGTTCAGGCTCCATTATCCAAACAAATACATTATTCCTTTTCTTATTTTCAATAATACATCCTTCAATAAAATAATATTATACATAAACCATAAATTTTTATTTTTATTTTTTTAACCACACGTTCTCCAAAAAATCATTATTCCAAAATATATATTCTCTGAAAATCACATTAAAGTGGAGACCAAACAGGGGCGAATTTTGCTGTATTGCTGCATTGTGTTTTTCAATATACTTTCTTTTTTGGTTCTGCTCCTTTTTGAGTTTTTAACTTTTCAATGGTACTTAATGCTTGTGGATTTGCAGGATATTAAACGTAGAGAAGATGCTGTTGCCAGTGGTATGTTATGAGATAGATGTGAACCATCATGTTTATGCTTTGTGTTTCTTGTTTTCTTGTGTTTGTAATTCAGTTCGCAATGGCTTGATTCAGCTGGTGTTCCTGCGGATGACAAAAATTGGCCCCCATTTTTCCCAATTATTCATCATGATATAGCCAATGAGATACCAGTTCATGCTCAAAGGTTGCAGTATCTGGCTTTTGCCAGTTGGTTAGGTATTTATGGTGCCTTCCTTTTTGATTTTTACTTGTCAAGTTCCTCTTGATCTTTTAAAAGGTTGTATCTTTTAGTTATTCCTAGTGCGGGGTTTGTGAATAGTTTTGATCAACATGCTAAATGCTGGCTCTTGGATATGATGGTTATTGTGTGAGAGAAGCATTGGCTTCTGTTACCTTGAAAATATGCATGCTCACGCTAGGAATTTATTGTAAAAATCTTTTGAATTTCTATAATTGAGATCTGTCTCTGCTCATTTGTTGTAGGTCTTAGCTTGAAATTGGCAGATCAATTTTTTGAAAACAGTACACTTGCTTGAGAACACGTCTTTTGCATATTGTTTCTTTGTTCTGAATGCCTCATTGTCTCGTCCTATAAATTAGTTGTTTGATGCTAAGCATAATCAATACTTATTGGCTGAACTGAATTTACTTGTTAACTTATTTTCCTATTAACCTTTTTAAAATTGGAATTGAAATTGCCTTATGTTTGTCCATGAGTATGTGAGACTTTTATCCGTGGTTTGTCACAAATACTAGTGCCTGGATATTATAATTTTTCTTGATCTTATGAAATTTATACAGGTATCGTTCTTTGCCTTGTCTTCAATGTTGTTGCTATCACGGTGGCGTGGATAAGAGGCGGTGGTAAGTTTCTGCTTGTTCTTTCATTTCACATTATTGCATTTAGATCTTCTGGTGTACTAAGCCAAATAAATACTGGACTTTGTTACTGTGCTAATAATGTGGTATTACCATCCATAGGGGTCAAGATTTTTTTCCTTGCAATAATCTATGCTCTTATGGGATGCCCCCTTTCATATGTTCTATGGTACAGGCCTTTGTATCGTGCAATGAGGTATTTGAAATCCCCTTATTTCACTTATGGTGATTCTTATTATCATGGAATAACGGCTCTTTCTGTTACTGATTTTGAGTTCAGGACTGACAGTGCACTTAAATTTAGCTGGTTTTTCCTTTTCTACTTGGTATGTTCTGTTCTTTGGCATGTACATTTTTGCTATATAAAAATAGCTAAATCTTTTATGATATATTTGATTTAATTTCCACTGTGCAGCTCCACATCGGTTTCTGCATATTTGCTGCAATTGCGCCTCCAATTGTCTTTCATGGGAAATCGTTAACGTGAGATCTCCCTCCATCTTTTTAACCTGGAAAAATGAATTTTTTGGGTCTTGGT